TTATTATAATTCACCTTGGACAAAAGCAAAAACAAACAAATGAATGTAACATAATGATCAGCCTTGGCCTTTCAAGGTTACAAGTGGGAGCTCATCTAGGCTGCTATGATTTTAATATTTTGTTAGTGATTAAGTGTTTTAGCTCACTCACCTTAAGGCCTTTTTTGTTTGTACTGTTTATTTTGGAGAGGCTACGGGTTCACTATTTGTTGATCAGTATAATCTGACTCTTGCCAAACTCTTAAGAGATGTTGCTGTTTGCTTCCATGACTTACAGAAGCTGCACTTGGCATTTCATTGGTATTGTGTGGTGGACGTTTCTCAGCCTCAAACAACAACAACAACTTTTAATTTCAGGGTGATGACAACCCTTTGGCATTCTGTTTAGTTTCTAGCCCTAGCAGGAAACAGATTACTGATACTGCCTGTGCAGGCCTTTCATTTTAAACGTTTGCTCCACAAATTAAGCAAACTTCTATGTTTTGTTAACCTTTTTCAGGGGAAAGCATGATGCATAATAACATTACTTTGCAACGGCCTGTTGGGGTGATACTGAGAGGACTGTCTGAGTCTGCATGTGAAGGAATATTAAAAATAATTCAATACTTTGATGCTTGCCCATTCTGTTTGGTGTGAGTCCCTCTCTACAGGAACAGACTGATTATAACAGAGACAGACATCGAACCCCTCACCCCCCTTCGTCTCTCTGACAGAGATGAGGGAAGAGGTGTTTAAAAATAAATGGGTAAATATTATTTTGCTGTCAGATGCGCCATTTGAAAAGCTATGCATTTGTGAGATCATGAACAGAAAACTAATGATATCCACTGCAGCAGAATAGTCCCCCTGTTTTGACTTTATGCATACTTTACATGCAGTATGACAAAGTACAGTAAAAATCATATTCATTCCATACTGTATTTTTCCTTCAACAACCCCCACAAGTGATGCAGTAGTAAGTGCTAAGCCAATAATCTTTCCCAAATGTTCTAATTGTATCTGTTACTGCCAAGGACAACTCAAATATTCCATGCTCTACTTGTCACTAGAGACTATGCATCCACTGATAAATGAGAAAGGATCAAAATAAAAAAAATAAATCTGGACAAATATTCTAAGGATGTTTTTACATTTCCCTATTAAAGTTTTTTGTGGTTTTCGCCACTTTTGTTGGTTGGCTTTTTTATGGCAGTAGTCATGTGGTAGTTTATTCTGATACATGCTGTGCCTAAAGTTAAAGTTTGTTCAACTTTGACCCCAACCTTCTTTAACCTTTACAGAGCCAAGTGCTGGATGTGCTGAGAACCAAGGAGGAGGATAAAATATTAAAGAGTGGTTCTGAAATCGTCAATACAATAACAAATCATCATCATATTGTGACCAAACAAACACCATTTACTAGGCGAAAGTGATCTAAGCAATGTTCATATTGTGGCATGTGGTTCTTTGAAAGTGACACTTGGTAACCATAACAGATCCTGATAGGTTATAAAGACAGCTAAAAAGGAATGCTAAGTATTTTGCAAATTAGCATTTACCTGAAAGTTGCTTCACAATTATCTAGCACTGAGCACATGCAGCAATAGAGCCTTGTTTTCTCCTGTATAGCAGAATATGCACAGCAATAGTATATATTGATATCAGAAAGAGGCACAATACCTATAATACAGGGGTGCTATAAAAATTATAACCCATATGAATAAAAGTCTGAGGCCAGTAATAATTACACAAGCAGTTCCACCACCATCATTATGCATAAGCCTAATCAATGGTCATTGCGCTTAAGGGGAGTTGCAATGTTGTTAATGAATAGTTCCAATGAGTAGTGAGTTCTCTCTCTCTCTCTCTCTCTCTCTGTGTGCGGGGGTGGGTGTATGTGCGGGAGTGGTTAGTGTTAATGTCTCTAATGAATGGATGTGGCACACGTAGCCTGTGGACACCTGCTGTTGCCATTAGTCCCAAAGAGCAGACTAATCACCCTGGCTTTCAAATCTGAGCAGGTTATTCAGTGTCCCTGAAACTCAAGGACCCTTCATTACATGGAGCACATGAGTGTTCAGTGATAATGCCAGCTTATTCAGATATTTGCTCCTTCCAGAGGCAAAAAAAAAGCGCTACGGAAAAGCAGGGCACCGAGTGACTGGAGGAGGAGCTTTCACTTAGTGGCACATTCTTTGCAGACCTAAACAATAAACTAGAGGAAAAAGTATGTATTGGCAATCTGCATGGACAAACACACCACACACTCACTACCATCTGTTGCCTCCTACCTTGTCTATACCTTACTCTACTCCCTTTCCTTTCCTCTGCTAAGCTCACTGATTTAATCATCCTATCAAGAATCTATGCTCAGTGAATCCCACTTCCTACATGTTCCCATGGCTACTAGAAAGACAGAGAACCAAACCATGGGAGATGTAGTTTATAACTGATCTGACTACTCGGGGTCTTTCTAGCTCCCTCCGCATGGTGGTATCTCTCATCTTGATCTAAACATGAACATGTGGTATGTATGTTTTGGTGACGGATTCTTGTACGTTCAGGTAGGGTTGGGAGCCGAATGGGGAGGTGCAAGACTGAGGGGAAGAGAGGAAGAGAGGGCGATGACAGCTGCAAGAGAAGAATAACGGGAAGGCTAGATGATGAAAGATTGAGCGTTAGGGGTTACCACAGCTATGGTTGTGCTGCAGGACTCAGCTGTGAACTGCGGATTTAGAGGGTCTGAAGGACAGACACAGCCTTCCACCCACTCTGTCGCCATGGGAGACAGTGGAGAGGAGGTCTCATCTCCTTTTCTTCCTCACTCTCATTCTCTTTTACAATACTTATTCCTCCATCTCTCTTTCCCTCCCTCCCTCTCCCTCTTTTTCTGCCTGTCAACCCTCCCTCTCTTCATAACCCATCGAGTTCCTATTGTCATTCTGCCCACTAAATAAAACCAACCTCCAGGAAAGTGAATAATGATGAAAATTGAAATAATTACACCAGTCAGTGTAATCAGTCTTTTTGTGTGTCTGTCTGCCTGCATGCATGTGTGCACACGGGCCATCATTTCATTGGTCAGTCCAGTTATACTTCCCTTGTTGGTAATGTGACTGAAATGTGTGTTATCAAAGGGCTGCAGGCCTCAGTGCACTGGCAGTAACAATGGAGAAAAGGAAAGAAACCACAAACAGGAACTATAGCCTGCTTCCAGGAACCACCACACCAACCCACATACTCTAACACACACTCACAGTCATACACAAGCACAGAGAGGCATGTGCATATACACAAACGCTCTATATTTTCTTCTGTATTTCTACACACCGCCCTTCCTTTATCTCAGAAGGCAGAAGCAACAGTTAGTGATCACATGATCACTCTCCTAATTTTTGCGTTAGCTGGTTAGCTTAGGCTCAAAGTAAATGCTATTGGTATTTAAACAGAACACACTGCGAGAGAGCCTGAAGAGCTACAGGAGCAGGGGAGAGAGAGAGTTGGAGTGTGTGTGTGTGTGTGTGTGTGTGGGGGGGGGATGCTGTTGCCACGGCAACCAGAGCCGCGGCGGTCGTCATCATGAGGCTTCTTCTGCATTGTGTATGTGGAGACAGCGTGTGTGAGTTCACCCTCCTCTCTCCAGACAGGAGGCGAGGACATCCCCCTCTAACACCGTGCCAACAGAGAGAGAGAGAGAGAGAGCGAGAGAGAGAGAGAGAGAGACAGACAGACAGACAGAAAGAGGGAGACTGAAACCCCATAATGCACTGCACGCTGCAGGGCTGAAGTCGTGCAGATTCATCAGTTCCTGTTCGGAGGGATCGTGTGTGAGCGCGCACACACTCATACACCCAGACTGAGTGCGAGTGAATCACACAGACAACCAGGCAGGTAAGACAGCTTTTCCCTGACCATGCCGACAGCTGCTGGGTTTACCAGATGATGTGTTTATCTGCCTATTATTGCCTCTTGAGATGAGGAGAGGGGAGAGTCGCTCTATAGAGACGACAGGGTGTCATTAATATTTGACATGTTATGATTCCGACAACTTCCCTGCCTGTTGCTAGTGACTGCTGCTATAGTTTTTCCTCTTACAAGGAAATATGTAAGTGATATATCTTAGAGAGATTTGAAATAGCTGATATGCATGAGGAATATCTGTGTTAGTTTCTGTCTGTCACTGTTCTTTTTTGCATGTGTTTTTTTAATTCCTGCTTGCAGATACTGTTTAACTGTATCTAATTTGAATATGGTGGGAAGGTTTTGCATGTACTATGGGAGTACTGGTGAACACAGTGTAACTTTTAGGAAGGTATAACTTGGCTCATGGAATTGCACAGTATTAATGTTACCATTCTGAAGACTCTTTATGTACATTGGGTACAGTCCAGCATATTTATGTTAGAGAATAGGACACAATTTATTACAGTTTTCATAAAGTTTAATTGCAAAACATTCAGCTAATGTTGCATGTTTCTGTTTGATATGCTTTGTGTAACACTAAACAAATTATGGGTTTTTTTAAATGTAAGTCTAATGTGCCCGGTCAAAAACAGCTTCACCCAACGATGTACTATAAATTACATTTCCCTGACAACGATCACTGATGAAGGATTTTTGGAAAGGTCTTCGTAATTTAAATTAAATCTAACAGCAGTTGTAGATAATACTACAAATACTTGCCTATTTTGAGGTATATACATGTTGTGCCAAGTGAAAATAGTGCAAGCTTATTGGCGGGTAAAAGCGTGGCTTCTCCATCACGGGTCATTTTGTGGTTAAACGGCCACAGAGGCTTGTGACCACATGTGTTGCGCCAGAGACACAGACAGGCTGGAAAGCACGACTGCAGCAGCCCAGGGCAGGGACTGTTAAACTTTATTACCCAAGGACTCAAATGGGAAATTTCAGTCCTCCACTCTGGAACCCCATTATGAAATCATGTTTCAACATTGTCATGTGGAGATACAAAGGAAGGTCAAAATGAAGACCTAGAGTGAGGAATAGGCTTGAAATCTTGATGATTTCTAAATAAAAAATTTATTCCAAAAGGACATTATTTAAATGTCAGTCGTACATAGAGATTCCTGAAGAAAATAACAATATACAATACACACGTACACAATACACAAGTTGTATTATCTCAAAATCCAGCTTTTAAATAAAACACAGCTCAAGGTAATTTTATTTATATTATATTATATTAATATATTATACTATATAAGTAAGGGATAACAGTAAGAAAGTCTCAAAGGAAACTGTTGTACCTGTGTGTCTTGCACCTTTTGACAGTGTGTATCATCTGGACGTGGGAAGCTCTTTATGCAGAACATTGTAACGGACTATGCAAAGAGCTTTTGTCGCTTGGGAAATGAAATGCACAAAAGCCATAATGCAGATCAGACCAAATCAAATCTTTTGAATATTCGGTTTGTCTCCATTTAGCTCTGACAGAGCACCGCTTCTATCAGCTCTTCCCCTGCAGAAATCCTGTCAAAACTCAAAATGGAGAATCTCTTCTTTTTAATTATTGGTTCCTTTCAATAAGAGCCCCCACTTCTGTATTTGTGTTGTCGCCTGATAGAATTATCCACCAGTCACCTACGTGACAATAGCATCTATATCTCTGCCTCCGCTTTGTAATAATTGATCTTTGGTGTTTGGGAGACTCAAAGCTGCCTGATGCACAAAAGTATGTACATGTACAGTGTGTGTCTATATATTTTATCTGGGTATGTAAGGTGTTCTTGAAAATGTGTGTTTCAGTAATCCCAAGAGAGATACTCTAAGTAAGAAAAGAAAAGCAGAAAGATGTATGTCTGTCTTTAGTTATAAGTTGAAGAATGTGGTCATACCAGAGCTATTTCAGTGGTGAGTTTTGGGGTTTAGGAGGTTTTTGAACAATAGTCATTCACATATTCCACTACTGGTCTGTTATAAAGCTCTGTATTGACAGAGTCCCACACTTTCCACTGAGATCACATCTTGGGGCCCCAGTATATGTTGGTACTAGCACACAGAGCTGTACAGATTAGAAAATAAAAGGCACAGATGCTCTGCAAGGTCATAGTTTAAACAGACTGAAATAGCTACTGTAGTTTGAAGATCATCTCTTTAATGATTTGACCTTAGATACGCAACAACAGATCAGAGGTCTGTTATGAATGCTGAAAACCTCTCAGACTCACTCTCACCCTTTTGGATTTTCCATTTGGTAAGATTGTTGAGGTTCTCCAGTAGATATTCTTTTGCTTTCTGTCCAGCTCTGGCTTTGCTTAGCAGCTTGGATCAAAGGTGATATATGGATCCAGATCTCGTTGTCCAACTTTTAACTCCTCCTGCCTTTGTTCTATTTTTTTCAGACATTTTCCTCATTCCTGTCTGTAATGATCTGAAACACAAGGGACACATGTTCATGGATCCGTGGCCTCATTTTGATGCTCAGAATGAGCGTGGATGTAAGGGACACTGGCTTGTGTAAGAAAGCAGTGCCTCAAAAGTCCTTTCCTCTGTACACAGACATCAGCATAGCAGTGAGCAGGAACCTTAGTGTGCATTAAATTATCTGCATTTGAGGCAATTATAGGCCAAAACCTTTCACTGCACCTTGTTTCTTCATTACTCTCTCCTTTTAGACTAGAAGCTTGCCGGTGGAAAGTACATATGCTCAAGTACTGTACTTGATTCTGAAGTAGTTATTTATTTTAGTATTACCATTTCATACTACTTTGCACTTTTCTCTGGGGGAACAAGAGCTTTGCAGATTCATATTTTAAAACCTTACAATGAGCTTCTAAATATATTGCATTTTTATGTAGTAAATTAAACCACAACAACAGTATATAAAGTAGATAAAATTATCTAAATTTCAACCCACTAACATTAAAATAGTGCTTACATGTTAATGCACACAATATAATATAATATAATATAATGTAATATAATATAATACAATACAATACAATATAATATAATACAATATAATATACATAGTATTGGAATATGGAAGACTGGCAGGGGACATTCTGCCTAAACATTGAATAGTTTTGATAAGAAGTAGCCAACATTTAACTTTTTGTAGATTTTCACTTAAAGCTGCATTAAGCAATATTTGTATATTAACAATGGGTCAAACTACTATCTGTAATGTGAATTGTGTGGCTTGTAGTGACAAACCCACAGAAAATACACACCTGACTCTGCAGTTCCCCTCAGCACTACAGAGCATTTTAGCAACTTTTAGCTCATTGTTTTGGTTCACTCTCACCATTCTCAGCAGCACCCAAAAATAACTGTTCATTACCAATCCAACGACAAGCTGCAGACAGACAAAGATAGCGACTAGCTGGCAAATATAGTGGAGCATTTAGCAGTAAAAGAGTCAGATATTTTGTCAAGAGTTTGTGAAGACTAAATGAGAGGTAAAAGGATTGTTAATTTTTGGCCAGGTATCCAGAAACATGACTAATAATAATGTTTGTCCGTATCAGCTGGATGTGTAAATTGGCAACCATAACAATAACAACTTTATCAGGTGGTAATATGTCAAAGTTGTGTTTACAGCTTGTTCCTGCTACCAAAACATATTTAAATACAAAGAACATTTTGCTTAAAGTTTTCCATAATGGTAGTTAAGTGTGCATGAGCAAGCAATTTTTTATTTTATTTATTTATTTTATCTGTCCTTATGTGTAGTGTGATGTTCTGTGTTGTGTGTTGTTTTTTGTACTGGATGCCATAGAATGTCATTGCACTGTAAAACAAATTTACCTACGGGTATAAATAAAGTAAACAACAACAACAACAACAACAAGACCCTAAATCTGTTGCTGACATCTGTGTTTTCAACGTGAGGGAAATTAAAATAGTTATTTTCTTACAAAGCATAACTCAGATGTACAGTGCCATCATGTCCTGTAGTTTTAGAATCCGTTTATAGTCTATTGTCACAAAACAACTTGTACACATTTGGACACACTGCATCCCATTCCCAATTCAGTCTAATTTTGGAAGACAATTGCAGGGCCTTTTTTGGGCACAAGTCAGTGACTTGCCAGATCTAAAATTGAAATTCCATATAACCGGCGTCTGTAGTACGTTGCTTTGACTCTATGGACAAATTGATAAATATTTATAGAAGCTGGAGCTCAACATTAACACTTAGAGCAGTACAGATCCATCATAGGTGCTTCTGAGGGCAGGCTGCAGGCTGCTGTTCAATCAACACCTTTCCCTTACACACACACACACACACACACACACACACACACACATACACAAGCAAATACAGTGATAAATTCCAAACACTCTGATATATTGCAGCCACAAGTCAGTGATGTGCCTCTGAGTCACTTGGTAACACCCACCTGACAGATACACAAGATACACACACACCTCTGCAAACACACACACACACACACACACACAAAACACCACACACTCACACATGCTTGCACAGACACACATGCACCTGACGTAGTGTTTGATGGAGTTAGACACCATGGCAACAGAGCTGTGACTCTTGCTGTCCTGTGAGTGGACTGAAGCTGTGGAGGAGGGAGGAGAAAGCTACCAGCTAGCACTGCTACTCAAGTGCAGCTATTATTATTCCCAATCTCTGTCTCTCTATTCTCAGCTTTTCCTTTTTCTTTTTCTTCACCACAACTGCTATCCACATGCCACCTTTCTGTTTTTTTGTGTGTGTGTGCAATATAAAGGCTGTAAGTTGAAAAAACAACTCAACCAGGGGAAGTAGAGGAGGCAGACGAGAGGTCAGAAGGCATGCATTTTTAAAGCCATCGATGTGTGCAAAAGCTGACAAATCATCAGAGAATCGTGCTGATTCTCACAGCCACAACTAGACAGCACTCTGTGCTATGGCGTCTTATTTGTTGACATATTATTTTTATCTCGCTCTCCTTGCACTCTCATTCACTGCATCACCCTGTTTAAAAAAAACCCAAAATGATTTAACTCCTGTCTTCTTCTGCCCCTGTTTAACCCTTTTCTTGTTTTTTTTTTGTTTTTTTTTCTCCCTCTTTCTGTTCCGTCAGTCATGAGGGTAGCAGCACAGATAACGAGAGCAGAAGGAGGTAGAGAAAAGGGGGGTGGGGGTGGGGGGGGGGGCGTGCAGGTGGACAGGTCTCACAAACAGCATCTGTATGAGATTTACTGCCTGCAGATACAGATGGTAGAGAGACTGCGAGGAAGAAAAAAGGGAGAGGGAGGTGTTGAAACAGTGCAGGTGAATTGCATTTTGTTCTCCAGTAGCATTTTCACGGTCTGATTGTCACCATTTGTTAACATACACACATGCAAGCAGGCGCACACACACACACACACACACACACACACACACACACACACACACACACACACACACTCTCATGCAGTGTGAAGCTGGGAACTTAGCTGTTGACAGGAGAAGTTTATCTGAGTTAAGTTCCCCTGCGTTGCCCTCCTCTCCTCTCCTCCCTCTTTTGCATACGATCCAAGCGCGAGCTGTGAAAGGTGAACTTGCAGCCTGCTGTGGATAAATTATGTGTGACATGTTTAGCTGCGCTGCCTTATATGGAGACTGGTGTGTCTAAATACAGTAGGGCTCTGCCAAGAGGGAAGCAGGGAGAGAGAGAAGGAGCAAGGGAGTGAAGGATAGGGAGGGAAGGAGGAAGAGGAGAAGGAGGAGGAGGAGGAAGGAAAAGAGGCAGGGGAGGGAGGAAGCGAAGGAGAAGGGAGGGAGGAGGGGGCAGTGACAGAGGGAGTGAAAGAGAGGAGTGCCGCGAAGCAAGCATGAGGATTTCACTTTCCATTCTCCCCTCAGCAGCAGTCAGATGAGTCCTTGCAGAGATACAGTAAGTCTTTGCTGTTTACTCTGTGTGTCTGTGTGTGTGTGTGTGTGTGTGTGTTTAGGGGGTATTTGTGTTTGTTTAGACACAAGACTAAGTTGTCCCCGCTTACATTCTCTGCTTTGTTCTGCCATTTGGCTTTTAGAATTTTTATTCACCATCTGGATGTTGAGTGTGATGTGTGGATGTGTATTTCAGTGAATTATGTGTGCGTGTGTGTGTGTGTGTGTGTGTGTGTGTGTGTGTGTGTTCATATGCAGATAAGCCACCGTGCTTCACTGCTAATGTGTGGTAGTTTGAGGCGGGACAGTTTTAATGTGGAAAAGAGCTGAGCTGACAAAGAATGGGTAACGTTAGTGTTTAATGTTCCGCAGAGCAGTTAGCACACACACACATGCATGCACACACACTCATGCGCAAATGCACATACACTGACACACATTCCCTTTTCTGGCAGAACACACTCTATCTCTCTGTTTCTATCTTGGACTACACTGAAATCCCTGTTGTGTGACTCCCACTGTTAACACTAAAGCTAAATATGCTCTCACGTTTATGGATGAATGAATGAAAACACACACACACACACACACACACCAACTCACTCTGAAACACACAGACATATGAACAGCCCTACACTCCTCCTGTATAATTACTGGTCTGCTAGTGTTTACACTACAGCTGCCCTCAGGAAATGATTAAACTCCTGTGTTGCCCAGGCCGCCTGTACCAGTCTGAAACACAAACGCATTAACACACATACACATGCACATGAAAAATCATTAAAATCATGATTAAAATGTTCATGTTGTAGAAAGGACAAAAAAAAATGATTTAGTAAAGTTTGTGTATCCATTAGGAAGGACCTATGAGTACAAGCAGGATTTTAGAACATATCTGTTTGTTTTAAATTGAAAGATTAATTACTGAAATAGGCTGCTCTGTGCTGCACTGTGAGCAACTGTGCTCAGAGCTTATGATGCCAGTTTTCCCATACAGGAAGTTATGGTAAAAGGTGTCACTTACTTGGATGACATGTTTGAGGTTCAACCAAACTGTTATGACTGCCTACAGCCTGCAGTTCTTCATCTAATACGCTTAATGTGGCTTTATGTTCTTCTACCATTGAATATCAACTTGCAGAAAAAAACTTTTTTAATATTTGAGTTGGGTGAGGGCAGTTGCTAACCTTCATGACAATGTCTACACATTGTGTTGCTACATCCTTCACAATAAACCAAAGCACCAAAGTCACAGCAAATCAGAGCAGCTCAGAGAACTGAAAGAAAATACTAAAGAAAATGCATTTTGGAAAATAAATTTTGGAATGGGCCACATCAATATTTTACCAGAATATTAATGTGGCCCACTTACTAATAGGTATATAATTTGTATTTTTGTGATAATAAACCTACCTACCTACCTACCTATATATGTTTATGATTTATTTACCTTTTAACCATTAACAACGCCATGCTCTCATAGATGCGTCTATCTAATATATTCCCCATTGTTTGGAGTGCACACCTTCTTCTCATCCACTGAT